ACGTGCAGACACACACACACACACACACACACACACACACACACACACACACACACACATACACACATACACACATACACACATACACATACACTTACACACACATGCACATCCAATATATAGAAGATAGATAGCGGATAGATAGATAGAAAGATAGCATCCACATTTAGCAACACCCTGTTCAGTAGTTTGAGGTGACATGGTGAAAAGGGGCTGGGAATGGGGCGGGGTGGGCTGAATAGACCCACTGTGCTTTATCTTGAGGTGTAAATCCGCCCATATTAAAGTAAAACACTTGGACATGTATGTTCATACATTCATATAATTTTTTTATCATGGCGGTGTGTCTGTGTTGTATTTCTTCCGCTTATCCCTAACTAGCATTTTAATCAATGTTTCACTCAAACATACGCTTCGCCTTTTGAAAGGTCTGTCTACTAAGACATGCCGCCTTTCAAAACAAAAAGAAACAATATTTAGTGGACAAGAATACAACAATCAAACTCCCTGCTCGAAGAAAATAAGTCTCCATGTTGTGTGACCAACTCATTATCACTGTCATAGATGCAACTCGTCCCAGAAACTGACTTTTAAACTGAAATAACTTTAGTTAATAGTTATTACACCATTTGTATGTCTTTGAACGATCACTAAGTCACTAATGAACTTATTTTTAAACTTACCTTTATTGCGTTGTGTGATTCGTATCCCTTTTAAACCACGAAGTGTGATTGTGTTTCGTGTAATAAGCGAAGTCATTGTGTTATCAACTTTCCGTATCTGCAGTGATAGCAAGGGTCAGCAACTAATTTTTAAGTATGGAAGACACATTTTCGATTTTATTTTAAAATTAATTTCAAGCTTGGACCAGTTTTGGGTCGTATTTTCGTAATTAATAACAATGTTATTATATTTGTTTCACGATGCGGTGGAATCAGGCGCTCGTCAATTTGAGGGCATATGGAGTTATTGGTATCATTTAAGGGGGCCTGTCCTTTTGCCTTGCTTTTGATGTTAAAATTATTCATTGATCTTGGATACAAGTCGAGATATTGGCGATTGAAGGAGCTGGGGGTGGCCCGGTTTCAAAGGTAAAATTAGTGGGAAAATGGCCACGAAAGTTGAGAGACCGTGGAAACTAAAAATTTACTTGTTTTATGCCTTTAATCAAGTTTTTCTGTAAAAATCCAGATAGAAAAATGTTCTTTAAAGGGCCTGGAAGGTGTTAAGCCAAAAAACAAACACTCGGTAAAAATTCCCAAACCTGCAGAAAAATGTCAGTTTCTTGACTTTCATTATTTTGACGAGCGCCCCAGTTCACCCCTCTGCCTCACATTTAATATAATGGTTAATCGAGGTTTTTCATTACTGAAGAAGCGCATAAGGGGGTAACACTGGATATACTTTATAATGTAATGAAATTTCATATGTTCAAGTCTTCGCCAACATTTTGTTTTGTTTTTTTGTTATTTGCTTCTTTTTTTTTTTAAACCTTATTTACAATAATAATACTCGTGGTGATGATGATAATGATGGCGATGATGATGATGATGATGATGATGATGATGATGATGATGATGATGATGGTGGTGATGATGATGATGATGGTGATGGTGATGGTGATGATGATGCTGAGGATGGATTGTTCGCTTGTAACAGAAGTCAAACTTTATTGTTATTGAATTCCGTTGTATCAATATCCACATGTAGGCCAAAATTCATTTCTGTTGTGATCCGATTAAGCAGACTGGATAAGCTGAACAGGTGGTAACCTACATTATTCTAAGAGGTGACTTGCTACAGCGTCTGAAGTCCAAGAGAAGATACAGAGTGTATTTCTACTTTTCAAAGCAGATTCTGACAGCCCGTAAAACAGATTACTGAAATCAATGTGTTGTAGAGTAAAGGATTTGCTTAAACCTTGCAAAACATTTTTTTATTTGTCTTTGAAAGCATGTATCACAAGAAATTGCATACTCCATGTGTTGTTTAAATTAAATTCAGGCTAAATACGACACTGCGTATACAGCTATTACGAAATGGTTAATCCTTTCCTGGAATATAGAAGAACGTAACAACATTATGGAGCTCTCTTTTCGGTCCTATAACAATGATAACAAAGAAAAGGTGTATTGCTTTTACATCCTTGTCATCACAATTAGATTATTTAAGAGGCTGGCCCTCAAACATTAATGTCTTTCTTCAATATAGGACTGAGCCAAATTATGGGTTGAGAGCCAATCTGGGATTCGAACCAGAACCATCCGTGCCATTGTCTAGTATAATACCAACTGAGCTAACGGAATGCTCCAATCAATGGTAGCAGAGGTTTACTGAAGTTGACCCACAAAAATTAAGTAGCAGATAAGCACTGTTTGGGACATGCTAAAGAAATTAATGAAGAGGACGACAAGATTAGCCTCTAGAATCAACTGAAAGGAAAACGGAAAGGCAAAGAAAATTTGGGAAAGATATTGGAAATGGAATGATGGGAAAGGAACGGAAGAAGAATATTGGAGAGGAAGCGACTGGAGCGCACGTTTAAAAAAGGATGCACATGTGCATAGTTTGTGAGATTGGTTGTCCCACAGCTGGCAAAGAATTCACTGCAAAAACATAAAAACAGATATAGGACAGAACAGACTATGTTTGAAGACAAAATGTACCAGATTATAATCTTTTGTGACATGAAAAAAATATGAAACAAAGAAGATAAAATAAAGTTTTCTTAGGCTGGAACTATTTATTTCAATACAAAGAATATACGTTATTTCAGAAAAATTCATTCTGTAAAATATATCGGTATGTTATATAGAAAATCGAAATGGATGGACAAAGGAAATCTCAAGTGTTCCAATATTACAATATCATAGTAAAACGAATCTTTCCGTGCAATCAGAGGGAAAATACAAGAGCGTGCAATATACTTGCGTTCTGTCCTAAAGTGAAATCAAATATGCCATAAGTCTGTAAGAAATAACCAATATGTGCTTTCATATGCGAGTGTTTCTTAGACGATTGGGGAGGGACGTGGCTTTGTACCTACGGGTTTTCCATTTTTTTTCTCTTTTTTTTTCTTTTTTAGATTGGAATGACTGGGACAGAAGGAGTATAAAGAGGAATGCCAAAAGGAAGCAGAAGATCATGAAGTTCGTTAAAGGATCATATTTTGTTAAAGGATTTTATTTATTATTATGAAAGATATTGACTGATTTAGTTTACATTTCCCGAACTTATACTTTTGATATCAAAATGTTACAAAAAGTAGAGATATTTTTTCGAACTTCTACAGTTGTTGTTGTTTTTTTAACCTATGTCAGTAACCTCTTCCATTTTGATATTCCCATCAACCCCTGAAAATTCATCAGCAGTTTGAGATGTGCTTACTTTCCGTACCCTCTCAGCTTGTTGATCCCTCCGTACCCAGGATACCCGTGGTTGTAGCTGATCTGTGTGATACCCGTTTGATAGGCCAACGGATTAACGTAACCACCACCAACCCCGTATCCGTATGACTTGCTACCGTGATACGCCCCGGGAAGAACAGCAACGCCAGCGTTGTACAACCCTTTAGCTCCGTAAGCACCCCCTACTTGCGGATACCCGTAGTGCTTAGAAGATGCTCCTAAATGGCCTCCGCTGTAGTAGCCCTTCTGATATTTGGAAGGATACAATCCCACGTTCTGATACCCTCCGTATTTTGAAGGGTACCCTCCGTATCCCCCGTAGAGTCCGTACCCCCCGAGTAAGGCCTGGTTGTTGTACCCAATTCCGTAAGGGCTGATAGCGCCATAAGCGCCATACCCAGCTCCCAACCCGGCTCCACCGTATGGTCCGTAAATTGGAGCTGCGTGACCCAGATGTCCAGCCAGCCCGCCGTGCTGTAAGGTGGTTGTCTTCACCGTTTTGTGCACTTGGGTGTTGACGATGGCTCCTAGAGGATTCAGGTGAGCCCCCGTGATTGGAGCCCCGACGCTGAGGGTTTTGATGACCCTGGAGCCGTTCGCTGCGACCAGGAGGCAGAGGGTGAGGACGACGGCAACGCTTGAGAATCCCATGTTTCTTTGGTTTCTGAAATGTAGATTATAAATGTACTAAACTTGAGGCTGTTGGGAATTACTGAAAGCAGGCTTGATGATGAGAGGGCAGCGTTAGTAAAACAAGAAGTACACACAGGAGCATGCGCGCAAACAAACTCTCTCTCTCTCTCTCACACACACACACACACACACACACACACACACACACTCACATACACACACACACACACCCACACATAGACACACAAACACACTCACACACACACACACACACATATATATATTATATAATATTGTTTATATATATATATATATATATATAGAGAGAGAGAGACAGAGAGAGAGAAAGAGAGAGAGAGATTGAGTGAGAGAGATTGAGAGAGAGAGAGAGAGAGAGAGAGAGAAAGAGAGAGAGAGAGAGAATACAGACAGACAGACAGAGACAGAGAGAGAGACAGAGAGGGACAAAAAGACGGATAGAGATAGAGAAGTTTCCTGAAAGAAACACTGCCTTTGAAGTCCCCAGGACAGTTGCCATTCCCGCACACATTAGAGGAGTGTTTGGTGCTTTGCCATCGTCCGTCATGTGCGTCTTAAACACAGGGCAGTCATATGTTGGGAAGGGGAAGTATATGAGGTTATTTTCCCAAGGTAAACAGTATTGCTAACGATTCTTGTCTTCGAGACTTTAAAATATAACGACGGACAGCACTGAAAGATAATTGAACAGAAAGTGAATAGAGAGGAAATAGCAAGTCTAAAACAGAAAGTGAAAGACAGTAATTGTGACTCTCCTGAGTTTTAAGTACGTTGGTGGGGGCTCATGTGTGTATATGAGTGTGTGTATGTGTGCGTGTGTGTGTGTGTGTAGGTGTGTGTGTGTGTGTGTGTGTGTGTGTGTGTGTGTGTGTGTGTGAAAGAGAGAGAGAGAGAGAGAGAGAGAGAGACAGAGAGAGAGACAGAGACAGAGACAGAGACAGAGACAGGGGCAGAGACAGACAAACAGACAAACAGACAGGCAGACAGACAGACAGACAGGGGGAAAGAGAGAGATTGGTGTTTTCAGGCTCTCGTCAAATTTTGGGCATGTGGAGTTATTAATAGCAACCTAATGCTTGGTCAGTTGTTATAATTTCAATTTTTTTAAAATTCCACGCTATCTTGAATAAAAGAAATGATATTTGTGATTGAAGGAGATGGAGGTCGTCTGGTGTCCGATATTGTTAAAGAAGTGAGAAAATGGCCACCAAAGTTTGGTGGCTTCCAAAGTTTGAGCGTCCTAGGACACTGCAAATTTACACATTCTGTGCATTTGAGCAGTCTTCCTTGGAAATGTGCTTATAAATGAATAAAGACGTTGAGTTTTAAAAAAAACGGAAATTGCCCAACTGTTAGAAAACTGTTGTTTTCTTCACTTTCATCATTATCTTTGTCGAGAGCCTGATTTTGTACAACGTAAAATCAGAAACAAAAAATAAATAGAATTGCTGAAACATTGGACAAGTCGCCTTACCTTGTAGTTGGAACAAAACTCAATTCACCCTAAATCAAGATTCTTAAAAAAGCGGCTAGGTCTTCAGCCTGCTTATAGTTCCTCTTGTACCTTGTTTCTTGATAGAAGGTACTTTGCTTTTTGCTCGTCCCTGCTTCGGACATTTTTCTTTATATGAAGAAATGCTGACGTCAGAGTGTGACATCATTGATTATCCTTCCATCCGGCGTATTATAAGGCGGCAAAAACTTGAAACAAGGGAGGCAATGGGCCAGTGGTCTCAGTCAGGATGTTCGAGCTTTCAATCACGGCTTTCGCCTTTGGCATTGGCTGTCCAAATGATTTTGAGGAAGAACTGATTAGGGTGACGCACCTACGGTTTACTTCCGCCTACAGGTAGTGACATTCGCTTTTTCGGCTGCGTTACAAGGCTTTCGTGGTTGGCAATTTATAAATAAACGCACGACTGTATCTTTTTTACCCATCCTGTATGAGTCATTCCTTGTTTTGCCGGAAAACATGTACGTAATAAATAAAAAGTAACTTCCTCAACGTATATTCTGGCGTGTGTCCCCGGCCATGTGTGTGTTTGTGGGGGGCGGGGGTTGTGTGTGTGTGTGTATATATTTATGTATGTATTTGTGTGGGTGTGGTTGAGAGAGAGAGAGAGGAGAGAGAGAGAGAGAGAGAGAGAGAGAGAGAGAGAGAGAGAGAGAGAGAGAGAGAGAGAGAGAGAGAGAGAGAGAAATTGGAGGGGGGGGGGTTGGAAGAGAGAGAAATGAGGAGTGAATGTGTGCACGTGTTAATTTTTTTTTCTGTTCAGTCAAGAAATATAATTAGTCCGTGAGATATAATTTCGGCACACTATTTATATAAATAGACTGACACACTTCTGTAGATACCAATGATATTAATTAGCCAGGAAACCAATTACAAAAAAAAAAAAACTCAAAACGATTTGATATACTATTGCTGTAAGATTAAACGTGAAATGTCTATTTCTGTGCAGTTTTAAGTAATATTAACTGGACTGAGAGTTGTTTTAGTGACAAAAAAGAGTAGAAAAACAATTTTTGGCATCCCATTTGTTTTGGGCAAAATCCAAAAATCCGAGCTATTGCAGAGTATTTTTAAGATATCACAGTTACATTTTAACTGATGACCTTTGTTTTTTTACATTGACAAAAATAAATGCCATACTAGAAGATAAGTTTTATAGACAGATCTCTATTTTTCATTTTAAAAAATATTTTTTATGAACCGCACTCTTGGGACAACCCTACCACACTATGCCAAAGGCTCAGGAAGTTGTCTCACTAACAAGGCAATGTCCGGATCGGATGGAACACTTTACTTTTTTTTCTACTCTTGGGTCAACAGACGAAAGTTTGATGTATAGCAGGTACCGAGGAAAATACCACCTTACCTTAAAGGCACATGGCTTTGTTATGTGGTGTATGAGTAGCACTAACAAAGGAGAGAACAGTGCTTTGTGAAAACTGCTGACTTTTGGAAATTCAAGCCAACCAGTTCGGAGTGCTCGTCATTTCTGAAAGTTGAGTTAGTCATGATAATTGGCATCAAGAAAAAAGCATTCATTTCAAACCTCACGGAGACTCAAAATTGCAAGGTTTTTATTCGTTGTTGCCAAAACGAATGATCGAGTGACTGATCGATACCGGGATCCTTTTAACGTACAGGTTTTTGTTGTTTGAACAACGCCCCGCAAACAACCTGGCCCCACCCCCTCCCCCCCTC